GTGATGCTGTATTTCTGAGTGTTTTATGTGCTGCAGAACAGGAACCTGCTGTAAAACAGCAATTATGCTGAGTCAGGCTTGATTTTTAATAATCTTTTCCTGTTAAATAAATCAAATCAAATCAAATCAAATCAAATCAATTTAAACTATATTTCAGCAACTGCTGATTCCCCATCATACAAAACTGAGTCCTTGAGTCCTGTTCACTATAATACTGACAGGATTGTCAAAAGAATGGACCCAGCAGACTCTGCCTGCTTGACAAGTGAGATTTGTCTAATCAGAAACAGAGAAACAAGGCCCTAAAGAGGAGTTTATGTAACAGAGTGAGCTCAGCTTTGGTTGAGTGACCCTAGGGATTAATATTTAAAAAACAATCATAAAGCATCAACACAGGAAGTGAACAAAACTAAATTGTATATTTAAAGATTTTGCCAGCAACACTAAACGCAGCACTTTAGGAAGTCTCAGATCATTCTGTGGTACCTTAGCCCCTGTAGGTGAGTCGTGTTCGTGGGTCAGTGGAAAGTTGTGGAGGTGCTGGTAGAGCTGAACCTCTGTCACTGCTGCGCTTTTCAGTCTGTGAGCTTCAGAGAAGCTGTCGTCAGCTTGGCTCATAGGCAGGGGGCTTCTGATGGAGTATCGAGGCTGGGGTTTGGGAGAGCTGCACGGATTCTGGGCGTTTGGAAGGCCCTGGTCTAAGACTCTGAAAGACTCCACTTGAGTTGACCTGGCTGAGGTGGCTGACTCTGACAGATGTCTGTTGGAATCAGAAAAAAAAAGTCAAAGTTTATTTGGAAGCAAACAGATTTGTTTTGAAGTGATGGACGTTATGTACCTGCGGAGGGAGCTGAGGGTTTCAGTCAGAGCTTTGACCCGTTTCAACATGGAGTCCATCTTAAGAGGCTCCTCCTTCAGGAAACGCACTGCCTCCACCTCAAGCCTCAGCACCGACCGCATCTTTGCTTGCAGCACCGGAAACTCACCTGGCAGACAAACAGTTCAGACCATAGACTTGAATAAGATCACTAGACTGAGCCCCGCCCATACTGTCCACTGGTAGTGTCTGTGACAACATGGAGGAGCAGAAACAGACCAAACAGGACAACAGCTCACAGCAAACATAGAAACTAATAGATAAACTGGATCTGTTTCACAGATTATCTGTCATGTTTTTACAATAAATTAATAACTATGTTAATTTCATTCAACAATCATATAAAACAGCAGATTTATAC